CGCAGACAAGTTTCCTACCGCCGCGGGCACAATCACCGCAGGAGAAATGAGTTCACTTCAAGGCAAAGGATGTTCTGCAAAGGACAAACACTGGGCGAGGATTTTTGAGTGGAAAAAGATGAATGCCAGGTTCAGCGAGACCATTGGCTTTAGGTGGCTCTACTGACCAACACCTGGGGAGGGGCTGCGCTGCCAGGGCTCCCCGTCCTCCCGGCTCCCAGACCCATCGGTCGTCTGCCGGCAGCTTCAGCTCCGCGCCCGCCTCCGCGCGGGGCGACCACCCAGGTCCCGCTCCCGGAGAGCCCTCTGGGAGCACCGACGGGCTCGCCACTTCCAGTCACACATTCTGACAAGGTCCAATCGTTTACAGGGTCTGCAAGGCGGAGGTTACGTCCCTGTCGGTGGAAGCTACAGCATTTACTCTGTGTGGAAACCAGATCAAATCCCGAGGTGCACCAGCACAGCTATGAACGGCCTTCGCTCGCCGAACGAAAGCCAACACGAGCATCCCCAGCGATGGGAGCCCGGGGGTGCTGGGCCTTCGGACTCAGAAATCACAGAATCACAGACTCACAGAATGGCAGGGGTTGGCAGAGACCTCTGGGGGTCCCCCAGCCCAACCCCCTGCCCAAGCAGGGTCACCCAGAGCAGGCTGCACAGCACCGCGTCCAGGCGGGGCTGGAATATCTCCAGAGAAGGAGACTCCACAGCCTCCCTGGGCAGCCCGGGGCAGGGCTCCGTCACCCTCAGAGGGAAGAAGTTCTTCCTCGTGTTCAGCTGGAGCTTCCTCTGCTTCAGTTTGTGCCCGTTGCCCCTTGTCCTGTCGCTGGGCACCACTGGAAAGAGTCTGGCCCCGTCCTCCTGACCCCCACCCTGCAGATATTTAGAGGCATTTCTAAGGTCCCCTCTCAGCCTTCTCTTCTCCAGGCTGAACAAGCCCAGCTCCCTCAGCCTCTCCTCGTAGGAGAGATGCTCCAGTCCCCTCCTCATCCTCGTAGCCCTCCGCTGGACTCTCTCCAGTAGCTCCTCATCTTTCTTGAACTGGGGAGCCCAGCACTGGACACAGCACTGCAGATGGGGCCTCACCAGGGCAGAGCAGAGGGGGAGGAGACCCTCCCTCGCCCTGCTGCCCACACTCCTCCTCAGGCACCCCAGGATCCCACTGGCCTTCTTGGCACCCAGGGCACGCTGCTGGCTCATGGTCACCCTGTCGTCCACCAGGACACCCCTAAAGCAACACCTGGAAGCCCTGCAAGCCCCACAAGCTCCACGGCTCAGGGAACATTTGCACTCCAAGCCATGGTTCACATTTGATTTCTGCAAATACCCCTGAAAGATACATTTCATCTGATCCTCACAAACCTCACGGAATGAGATCTTTGGCGTGAACAGCCCTGGCTCCAGGAACCACCTTTGCTTCAGGGATTTCCTCTAAACGTCCCCTTCCTGTCCTCACTTCATAGCCTCAGTCCCAAAGACATCTCACGGACTGAAACCTCCCTGATGTTACTTTTGCTTCTGATCACTGTACATGTAAAAAAAATTATAAGTACATTTAAAAAAAAAGAAATCCCCACCAAGACATCCCAGCATCTGCTGCCCAGCGACTCGTCTCCTCTCTCCCCCCGGCTGGGTTGGGGTGGAGGCGGCATGACCTGCTGCCCGGGACATCTCCCCGTCGTCAGCGCTGCCCACCTCCCTCTACTGCCATTCCACCGGGACCGTCTGCAACCGGGAACGGCTTCTGCTACCTCTGCAAAACCTGTGCTTCTTTGGGGACGAGTTACCACTTTAGGCTATTCTGGGAAAGGTTACGCACCGCGGTGTTAGCTGACCTCTGAGAAAACCAGGTACGGGAAGCAGAAAATGAGAACAAGAGGAGGGAGGTCAGGCTGGGGTTGAGGGACCAGAAGCAGAAGTGAGGGGCAAAAGCGGTAGGGGGAAGTGTGCGAAGAGCAGGACTCGCGGCCACCGCCGGATCTGGGAGCAGAACCCGGTCTGCCCAGCGCATCGCTAATTACTCTGCGCAGCGCCTGCGGGTCCCCGCCGCTCTGCTCGCGAAAAGTATGACAAACCACCTCACTTTCCTAATGGATGGCAGGAAGAAAGCTCTTTCCCAAGCTGTGCTGCATGACAATCAGCTGTGGGGTTTGAACAGCAGTCGCTGAATTTATTAACCTTTTCCCACTAAATCTAGAGATTCCAGCAGAGGCAGCTATTTCAGCTGAGTCCAACACCCACCTTCGGGATTCAGCTGTCCCTCTGACTCCCTGAGCAAGCAGCGCTTCGCACCTACGACCCAGACAGAAGCAGGCACCCTCTCCTGAGAGCACGGCACCTTCTGCCTCCGGCCTCCCCGGGGTCGATGGCCACGGCGCGTGGCGGCCGAACTCCGCTCCAGCCCACCCGCGCGCCCGCCCCGGGAAGCCAGCCCCACCTTCTCCATAAAAATACTCACACCACAACTTAAATCATGCATAAATTGTATAGAAAATAATTCATAGTTTGAAAATGCATGCCTTGTGATTTTAAATCTAAAAAGCAAAGGCAGAGATCTATCGATGTTATTGTGAAATATAAATACTTTGAGTAAAACTTTTGTCAATTAGGTGGCTCTTTAATGCAACAAAAAGCAGAATTTGAGTGCAAGTTATATTATGCATACATGCAAAGAAACATGTAAGCCAATGATGTTTACACATTCTATACTTATCCCATCGATTACAAAGAAAAAATATGAATAAAGACATATTCAATCCACATGAGACTGAAATAATGTTACAGAATGTGGAAAGCAACGTGGAACAAAAAAAAAAAAATGAACTCACCAATTTTTGGTATGGGTTTGGCTTTTGTTTATCCCCCCATTTTTTGAATACTCCGGTGGCAGCAGCTGCCAAAACCACTCTGAACTTCGCTGAACTATGACACTTCTCCTCTCTGGCTGCAGAATTTGTGGTTGTGCTCCTGCCACAGTCTCTTGGACGGGTCCCCATAAGCGTTTGGAAATCCCAGCCAGCTGCAAGCAGCTGACGGCTTCCCGAGGCTCTTTCTGCAGGGAGGCTGCTCTGCTTTGCGGGCTCCCCTCCCTCGGGCTAAATGGGAACACAGCACAGGGAGCACCTTCTGACGCCGAGGAGACCGAGACGCCTCCGCTACGCGCTCGGAAGGGGCACCCACACGCCTAAGAGCCGACACTTCGCTCTGAAGCCAGCACGATCACACGCCCAGAGCCACGTTCTCACTCCCAAGCACTTGGGTAAGCGATAGCTCTGGGACGCGCTGAGCTTGGGATTAACCTCGGACTGCTTCACCCACGCTCTGCTCACCATTCGGGATCTGGAGCATCCCGAAAAGCTCCGGCAATCGCCAGCTAACAGCTGGTGGGGGGAAAAAGGGGGAAGAGAAGAGAGGAAGAGAGAGGAAGAGAGAGGAAGAGAGAGGGGAAGAGAGAGGGGAAGAGAGAGGGGAAGAGAGAGGGGAA